CGCTTTTAGAATGCCCCTGGGGGTGTACTATTATACGGTAATGCCCTTCGGACTGAAAAATGCTAGTGCAACCTATTAGCGTGACATGAATACAATTTTCCACGAACATCTATGTAAAAAGATAGAGTGTTACGTGAATGATATCGTAGTGAAGAACCAAAACAGAGGCGATCATCTTATAGATCTGAAGATGATGTTTGACAACATGCGAGCGCATCAACTGAAGATGAATCCAACCAAATCGTTCCTAGGGGGTGTCTAGTGGTAAATTCCTGAGATTTATAATCACATCCAAAGGTATTTCTCTCGATCCAGAAAAGGTTCATGCTATCCATAAAATGCCACCTCCGAGAAACATCAAAGAGCTTAGAGGTTTGCAAGGTAGATTGGCGTACATCCGGAGATTCATATCAAAACTTACTTTTGGGACACTGCTAGCCCTTCACCTAGTTGATGAAGAAAGGACTCATTTGTTTGGGATGAAGACTGCTGGAAGGCATTTGAGAAAATCAAGAGATACCTCACACACCTGTTCTTGTGACCCCAATATCCAGGAAACCATTCCTGTTATATGTGAGAGCCATGGAACATTCTCTGTGGGCTTTGTTAGCTCAGAACAATGACCAAGGGCACGAGCAGGCAATCTTCTATCTTAGCAGAATCATGATTGGAACCGAACACCGGTACAATCCAGTAGAAAAGGAGTGCCTTGTCTTAGTATTTGCTGTTCAGAAAATGCGACACTATTTGGTCAGACAATCGATTCATGTCATCTCCAAAGTAAATCCTTTGAGAATGCTCATGACGAAGCCATCTTCTCTGAATTGTCGTCTAGCGAAATGGGCGATCTTCCTATCGCAGTATGACATGTAATTTATACCCCAGAAGGCTGCTAAAGATCAGGCTCTAGCAAATTTCTTGGCCGACCATCTGATATCTGAATCATCCAAATTTTATGAAGATTTACCAGATGAAGTCGTCGAAGCTTGCACAGGTCAATAAGTTATATAAGTATGGAAGTTGTTCTTTGACGGCGTGTCCAGAACAAACCCTAATGGAGGAATCACCGCTGGTGTGAGGGTGATACTTGATAGACTAGTGCAAATTTTATTATGGGCTAAAAATTTTACATACTCAAAGTTTCCCCTAGTTTATATTTATGTATCATCACTGGTGTTTGGCAGCACTCATATATTCTGAAGTTCCAAAAGTTGCACTTTAAAAACGTAAGGCTACGAATATATTCTGAAGTTTTTTTATTCTTAAGACTAGGAGGTATTGCATTTCCCCAACTATAGTCATCGGACTATGTTATCCTAGGACTACATTAGTCTAATTCATTGTTTGATTTCATACAAGCTAACATTCATACTAGTTTAAAATAGTTTAAACTAGTGTTAGTTTTTAAGAAGCTTACAATTATTCGGACTATAGCATAACCAAATGACATTTTTGCCCTCAAATTATTTAACATTGTATTAATGTATATTTTTAATGAAAAAATTTCAGAGTTGAGACCTAGTGAAAAATAGACATATTTATCCTCAAGTCAACTAAAGTATTACTTGCATATATATATACATAGAAATTGGAACTCCAGCTATAATCCAAATAATAAATGTTACATTTTTTTAAAAATAACCCAGCCCGGAATTGATTTTACTTTTTATTTTGACATGTTAACAGTAAAAGACTACAATAGTTTAAATTTTTAATATGTCGGAATAAAAATGCAAGAATAAGTGACTTGTAACAGATATTTACCAACAAAAAAACAGAAGCCAGATCAAAGTCAGTTTATTATAAATTATCAAGTCATCAATATATCATTTAGCATTAAAATGTTGAATTGCTGCCTTTAAGAAACAAATTTCACTCATGATTACACCAAATCTTATGTATTGCAGTCGCTCAAAAATAACAGGATGAAGGCACCATATCAAACTAAAGAAAGCATAGAAAGTTATTAGATGATCAAGACATCTATAGCAATCAACCGATCCTCAAGATGATATGGACTCCACTGTCAGTATCCATGATGTCGCTAATCTCGCCAACCTTCAGAGCAAAGGTACCTTCCTCAAATGGATCTGCATCTAACCCCGCCGAAGACGACCTGCAGGATAATAATTAAAAAGATTAATAGGCAAAGTAATAGACCACTTAATAGATAATAGGATATCAATGTTTCTATTTAACACGATATGGAAACATAAATGTTCGAGCATTGAAGATATTATAGAACGAGGTGAAACTCATGCCAAAAATTATTTTCAAGGAGCTTTATTTCCGTGATCCAAAGTACTTTACAACTTGACAAGTGCTGGTTGGCAAGCATGTGTACATTAATGAACTCTCATCTCTAATTAATCATAGTATAATATCTATAATGAGATCAAGCATCATTTCCCATCACAACTGTAGTACAGAAACGGAAATGATTTTGGTCTGCACTCATAAATGTAGCCTAAATTACAAGGAAGCACCACATATTTCAATAACATTACTTTCATATACAACATGAAATTTAACTGCATTTTGCTACAACCAATTATACATGTAATACACTTCAATACCATATGTTAGAGGCTTCCAGAGACATCATGAATCACATACAAAAAATTGGAAATATAGATAAAATATAGAGCTTTTGGTAGCATAAGGTCCTGGAAAAAAGTTGCCAAAACTCGAGTCTCCACATGCACCCCATAGTGAATTTCTGGTAAAAGAAAGCTCAAAGCAGACGAGCCATTTGATGGCTCTCATAGTAGTTCTTCTGCTAGCGGAGCTTTTCACGTTAACAACAATGTTGAATTTAGCGGGCAACATGAAAGCACTTGCCTAACAATTATAGATGATATTCAGAAGCAAAAAACCATGATGAAGCTGATATAAAGATTGCTCGGTTTTTCTTCCACAATTCTATTCACTTTACCGCTGCTCAATCCAGTTACTACCAAGATATGATCAGATGGAAGATCGAAGTCTCTACTTATATTATCGGTTGCATCATCCAAAGGGACATATTTTCTTAAATCTTTAGATATATCATCTCATATTGATGATGCCTATTATATTTGAGGTTGGAAAAATTGTGATCTTACATAAAAATTAAATTAAATAATATCCCATCACGTTACACTATATTATATTACGTGAAAGCTGTACTCCGACAGACTTTGGTTGATTTTATCCGTAGTCCCATTTTACTTGAGGAGACTTCAAGATTGCATTGTCTTTTATCATTCAGACCCAGTTCAATTAGTACCAAACTAAGAAGGAACACATGGGATGTCAAAAGAATGCATCATCAGTATCTGCTATTGTATACAAACTTTGGAACTTCATATGTCTTTATTGCTTATTCATCCCTTTGGTGCGTTCCATACTACACATCCTTCTGAGTACAAAAGGAACCCGTTTGATAGAACCTGACAACGTGTCTGCATTATCATCCGTACACAATTAGCTCTTGACTAAAGCAATACTCACAACTCACTAAAATTAACTAATTCTAGTAATATTATTTAAATGTGTACAGGTTTGGTTATGAAACAATTGTCTTTTATCATTCGGCCCAGTTCAATTAGAACCAAACTAAGAAGGAACACATGGGAAGTCAAAAGAATGCATCAGCATTATATGCTATTGTATAAAAACTTTGGAACTTCATATGTCTTTATTGCTTATTCATCCATTTGGTGCGTTTCATACTACACATCCTTCTGAGTACAAAAGGAACCTATTTGTGATTGCCTGAATGTGCGTGTGTGTGAGAGAAATAATACAACAAGTGTAGAGTACAAAGGCTGAATGTAAACCTAGTTGCACAGCATTAAGAAACAAATGACTAACAGTAAGCTTATTTTCAAATTGTACAATCACAAAGAAGAAATCGGCAATAATACCTAATGAATATTAAAAATAGTCATTAAAATTAGTGAGCATCACTGGTTTTCCTCCCAAAACGAAAAAACATCTGTTTTGAACTAATTAATAATTATGAAGCCTTCAGATATATACAAGGGAATGAACTTCAAGGCCCTCTTCTTTTATGAAACAACCCCACAGCTAAAAGAAAAAAATACAGAACTATCTCTATTGAAAAAAAAGGCAAAAAGGTAAAGATATGAAGCTTTAACCAAGTCAATAATAAGGATTTAAAGGGCCAAGTTAAGAATTTGGAAAATGGCACAAGAAACAAACATTTATGACACAGGCCAACGAAACAGTCCTTCTTCACATAGCCAACATTAAGGTTTTGCGCAAACTGAGAGCAAATTATGCCAACACTAAAGTTTACCATAAACTGAGAGCAAAATATGCTCTCATGGGTGACATCAGAAATTCACTTTCTTATTCAGAATCATAGTAAAAGGGTCGTGTAATCCTCATGCTTGAGAAAGGATAACAGTGACAGCTTCAACCAATTTCAGATGTGGCCTGTGTACCCAGAAGCTAACAGTGATCAAACTACCGTCAGATTAACAGTTTAGAGAAAAGACAGGATGTCATATAGGTCTGAACATATATATTGAAATAATGCTCCCTCAACTCTCATGTATTGGTAACAAATCCCCCCAAATCATCGTATTTTTGACACAAATTCCCTGAATCTCGCCTATTTTGATACAAGTCTCCCAAATCATCATATTTGAATACAACTCTCAAAAACATAAAGTTCCCACCCGCCCACCCCCCACCAAAAAAAAGGTAGTTCCCATCCACTTAACCCAACTAAAGTAAAGGGGTTGTTAGGGACTTTAAATTGGAGGGACTTTCAAAACATTAGCAAGATAAAGCCAGTTTTCAATGGGTTCAAAGGATACATTGGATTCCTTACCTCAGCAAGAGTATAGGTACAAGGAAAAAATAAAAAAAAAAAGAAATAATGAGAATATTGTTGATAGAACTTGTTGATAAAATCATATCACTAATTAGATAATTTGAAGTTACAAGCAAAAGAACACCAAACAAATATTTTGGGGTTCTTTTGCTTGTCTGCTTACATCAACAATATTCTTACTCTTATGTCTGGATTTGGGGTATTGTTTAATTCAGCTGTATTTTATATAGATATAGATATAGATATAGATATAGATATAGATTTATACATAACTTCATTTCCAGCTGTTCCTACATTTATATAATCACCAACTCATACCACATACTCAGCTCCGGTCCATCCTTATCCTTCATATTTGAAATTTTAAGTTATTACAAAATTGAAAATACATAAAGAATAGTGTTATGATGGAACAAAGTCCTATTAAAGAGGATGACTGGAATTATCAACTACTTCATAATTCAAGAGCTAAGAACAAATGTGAAGCATTGTCATTTGTGTACTTAATGCACATTTACCCAAATTTGAAAATGTCGAAGATCTAATATGGCATTCTATAAAAGCACATATGTTTTTAAATGTTTTTAGTATACCATACGTGCGTTGCACGTGATGCATATTAAGATGACTGCAAAAATCAGTGAACCTCACATAAACTCATTGCAAATAACACCGAATCAAATTAGTTATATATTCTTTACTATAAAAATAGGAAATTCTTATTAAAAAGTGATCAATAAAGCTAATGCCAACTTGCAGGTTGATGGCTTCCCAATTGAAGAAAAGAGCAAATTAACAGAAAAACTTTCATTGTTACATAGGATATGTTTGACTCATAATACTTTAAACAAACAAACACTATTTAAAATGTACTTATTAAAATCAACACAGGTGCAATATCCTCGACATATTAGTTTAAATAAACATAATTAAGTGTATTCATCATAGTGCTATAAATGATGTATCACTTCTCACTTTCTATTTTAATATTTTTATTATTCATGAACTTTCTATTGTTCATATCTTTTTTCAGGCTTGTCATACTCTTTCGCTTCAGTGAAATGTCCTTTGAATCTTCATCTTCATCACATTCTATTGGTTCGAAGTTGTTTCGGCTGCATAATTCTTGAGCGGTTATTCTTCCCTCAATTCTTTTCTCTTCATCTTTCCTATTCATTTTTACCAAGAAAAGATATTCTTTGTCGCAACAGCTCATCATTTTCTGGTACATAGGTGATAAGTTCTCCTGCATTATATTTATGGTCATTTTTTTCTATTTTAGTAATTTACTAATTTTATGGAAAAAAGATTTTATATATTTGAAATAAATAATGTTATATTACCTTTCCTTCTTCATTAAATGAATCTACATATTCTTCAGCTGAACAACCAGTTAGATACCGAGGTTCATCGAAAAGTGTAACATATGCCTTGTCGATATGATCTTTAACTTCCAATCGCATAAGGTACCTTGATGTGAAAATTTAAAGTTATTTTTATTTTTTTAATAAATAAAATTTAAAACTTACTTTATTTCCCATTCCGCATCTTCAGTATTGCAACTGTTGCAGTTAGTTATGATGTCTTCAACAAAAACCTTTCTTTGACAACTCTTGCATGCGGTGTAACAAGGTGATTCTGGATTGATTATTGCTGATATCTCCGCTTTAAAGTAGGAATACATATTCTAAAAAATAGCAATCAAGTTATAAATTCAAAATTTATTATTATTTATCTTGTTAATATCTTAACCAATATAATAAAATACATGTTTCGTAACTGTTGATATGTGATTATATCACCAAGCATAATCTTCTTAGACCTTCTCATTAGCTTCGATGGGGTCTGCTGCATCAGTTTCTCATAATTTTCCCCTTCCCTGTCATCCTATATTTAAGACATGTATTATTTTTTTTCAAAATTACATTAGGAAGGATTTTATTTGCATAAGCATTACCATTCTTTAAGAGTGTGTGCTTCAGTAATGTTTGGATCTATCAAAAATATTGTTGCAGGCTTTGATGATAGCTGCGGAACTCCTGTATTCATTATATGGTTACTTTTTGGCTATATAAAATTTTTAAAACAATTAAATTGAAAAGTCTTACCCATATATCTATTTGGAGTAACATTAATTATTGCTATAATTGGTTTTTGTTTTTTCTTGTGTTCGAATACTTGACCTTCTTTCTCTGCATGTTCTCCTCATAATGTTAATACCAATGGATCCATCCCGTGTCAATTAAAAAAATTGTTAAATGGATATGTTAGTATTTTAATATTTGTTATTGAAAAATTATTTCTTATTTAAAAACACATACTCTTCATTCATTATTGTGATCTCCCTTCTAACTGATGTATTTGTTGTGTACAACGGTCTCACTGAAGTGATGAATCCTAACACATCTGTATAAAGATTAAAAGTACAACGGTCTCACTGAAGTGATGAATCCTAACACATCTGTATAAAGATTAAAATTTTAGTGCTTAAAAATTAAATTTGTATTACAAATGCTATGTTATTAAGATTAAAAATTTAGCATACCGAAAAATATATTTTCATTATTTGTCTTTGTCACCTCTTCGAATCGCTTGAATGAAAATAGTAGGGTACCGATATTGATTTCATTTTCGGATACTGTAATTTTTGTGTTTTGTCCAAAAGCAAGCCCAAATATCGGATTCACCGATGCATATTTCCTATTTATAGGCCTGACTTTACCATTCTTGATGATAATGGTATTGTTGAGATGGATGTATTCCTCAAATGTTGCTATTGTAGCATTGAATAGTGTGGCTTGAATCTTTGTTCCCTGTATTTATTTGTTGTTACTTAAACTTTTTCATTTGAAGAGTTGTACTTACCTCTTCGTCAATCACAATAATCTTTTGAACCTGACCTGAACCTTTTGACGATGAGAATTGCTCCAAGGACACTTTTAGTATAAGCACTTTGATTGAGAAAGATTCTTGATATAACTTCAAATCCTTAATGAAGCTGTATTCACCTTTACGTTGTCTTTCAGCAGTCATCTTCCCTGTAACCATAGTAAATATTAGAAATATCAAATAAAGTAATTTTTACAAATTATAATAATAATATTTTTTTTTCACTATCTTCTTATTGCAATATTTATTGCTATAAAATAATTAAATTTAATTTTGATATTTTTGTTATTGATATTTATTTAAAATAAATAAGTTAGCCATTTAAATGTTTTTTCTAATCTTTCTCTGGATAGAACTTCTTTGTAGACGATATTTTTGGTGTATGTATATCCTTTCTTTTGTTTTCTTTCGCCTTTAACCAGCACTCTTGTATTGTTTGTTGATACACCACGAGATAAAGCAACATATAATTGTCCATGTGAAAAAACATGGTGTGGTAAATAAATACCCACTATACGAATTGTTTGTCCCTGTGCTTTGTTTATTGTCATTGCGAAGCATAACCTTATAGGAAATTGTTTTTGTTAAAATTTGAAAGGGTAATTTTCATTTTCAGCTGGTGATAATGGTATCCTTGGAATCATGACTTCTTGACCCGCATGATGACTTTTTGTTATTTCTGCTTTAATAACATTTTTATCAAATTCTTTGCAAACCATTCTAGTTCCATTGCAAAGTCCATTTGATGGGTCAAGATTTCTAAGCAACATTATCGAGCAATTCTGCTTCAGCTTTAGCTTGTGCGGTGGAAGACCATTAGGCATCAACTTGTTTAAAAATTATTCTTAGTAGTAGTTATTTGGATCATCAATACCCTTGTCAAAACTATGGAAAATAATCTCATCACCAGGAAATTTATCCAAAAGCTTGTCATTGAGCTCATCTACATATTCATTTTTTGTCGTAAGAATAGCTCGTTCTGTCATATATTCAGCTGAATTTGCATTTTGTTCAATTGATGGAAATACTTGGTTTAACAATTCAACTTCCGATTGTCCATTTTTGTTATCTTCAATCACAATACTTTCAGGAAGTCTAATTAGTTCATCATTAGTTGTTTTTTCTGTTCCATTTCCGACACACAGCAAGAATTTACTGAATTCTTCATCATTTTTTGCTCGCATGTTTATTTTTAATGTTATCTTTTCCATCTTCTCCCACAAATAAGACTTTACTAAGCTGGCATTAATTGTTTGGCTCCTTGTTCCTCTTGGAATAACTGGCAACACTTGACGAAAATCTCCTTCAAAAACTACTACTTTACCACCAAACAATTCTTTTATACTCAATAGGTCTTGCATTGTACGATCTACACTTTCAATTGCTACTCATTTTGCCATAGGTGCTTCATCCCAAATAATTAGTGCTGCTTTTCTAATCAAATGTGCAGTACCTTCCTGTTTAGATATATTGCAAACTGTTGTCACAGTGGCATTAATAGGTATATTAAACCATGAATGTGATGTGCGCCTGATGCGGCATAATTATGTACCAAAATTGCAAGTGCACAATTTATCAAGTTATAGTATAAAAATATCGATCCCACGAGGAAGGTGATTTTAAGAGATTATTAGAAATGCTTCTTATATTTTGTGCGTGACAATTAGGAATAAAGAATAAGTGTGATTGTGATGAGTGGTTGTTATGATTTATGTGCAAGAGATAATAAATTGAATTTTAGAGAAGAAAGAATCAAAGAATAAATGAAATCACAAGGCAAGAAATATGAATTAATAAAATCAAGAAATAAAACTAAGAATGAAAAGAAAATTTAAGAAAGTCAAGATGGAGGATTCAAAAGAGGTAAGAAATCTAGAATATAATCCACTAACCAATTTCAATTACAAAATATAAACTATTCTCTTTTTATCATATTTCAACTTAGATTTATTAAGCATAGATTATCAAACCATTTAAGGAAAGTGTAACCTATCAAATTATCATCTAAGTTAAAATTACTATTCATGATAAGAACAACAACATGATAATAATCCTAGAATTCATAAGCATAACCTATCAAACCATTTAAGATAAGCATAGATTATCAAATTCTTCTTCTACCGATTAGTTCTCTAGTTGATTATCCTAACATGAACATTTTAAGTACAAGAGAATAATTCATACAATATAAAAGAAATTAGACTAGTTTCATACAATTCTAAGATTCCTACAAGAATTAAATTCACATCTTAAGAAATAAAAACAAGAAAAAGAAGACTAATTACAAAATTAAAAAGAAAAGAAAAATCTAAACTATGAACAAGAAATAAATCTAATTACAAAGAAAATAAAAATCTAAACTACAAAATAAATTGCAGAAATTAAATGCAAGAAAAATAAATCTACTCTACAAATTAAAGTGCAAAAAGAAAATAAAAAAGACAAGAAAGTAAATCTATACTACAAGCATGAATTTAAATCTAACTAATAAGCAATAATAAAGAAATTACTAAAAAGAAATAAAAGAGAAAAGAAATGCAAACCTTCAAATTGCTCTTCATCTCCATCCTCATCATTCAACAAGAGGAGAAAGAACAAATTTAAAGAGGAAAAAATTATTTTTATTAATTGCAACTAAAGTTACAATTTTTGGAAGGCCTTCTCAATTAAGAGTAGCCCTCCTCTCCAAAAGGAGTTTACAAAATTTTCACACCTCTAACCCCTCACTCTCTACCCCTATTTATAGTAAACATCTGATAATGAGAGCCATTGGATTGAAATCTTATCCAAAAACAACAAATTTCAGCCTTAGATTCGTAACAAACTGCCCAGCGTATCGATGCAGGCATCGATGTCGGTATCGATGCAGGCATCGATGCCGCCATCGATGCAGGCATCGATGCCTGCCCTTCTCCTTTTGCTGTCCGCAGCTTCTTCTTGTTGTTTGCTTTTGGGCTTTGGACATTGGGCTTTTCTTGGACTCTTGGGCTTGGGCTTTGATTTATCTCTTCATTAAATACTTGAAAAAATTCATTGGGCTTCATGGCTTCATTTCTTCATTAAATTATGGGCTTTTTATTGAGAGATGAGGGTTTTGAGATTTATTCTTCATTAACCTGCAATTAAAGATAAAAACAATTATTAGTAGTATATTTATTCATATAAAATAGATAACGAGGGTATAAAATTATAATAAAATGTGATTATCAATGCCCACCAGGTAGTAAAGATGCTGCTACTCCTGAAGTTGCAATTACTATTGCAATCATTCCTTTTGATCTAACATTGGCAATTATAGTTTTGTACAAAAATATTTTTGCCGTCCCTCCAGGACCATCTATGAAAAAAAAACTCCTCCCTTATTCATATTAACTCTGTCCATTATTATTTCAAAAGCTTTTCTTTGATCTTCATTTAATTTGTACTTACCATCTATATCTTCCTGACAGACTTCAACATCTATCTCATCCTGTATGATTTGTAGATTGCATGATGGATTATCTATTTCATCCTCTTTAAATTTAGGTAAATCAAAATCTTGTATTGTCTTCCCCATGCTCTCTAGGAAATAATTAACTCCCTCTAATGTCCATGCAATTTGTTCTACATCTGTCACTATAGATCTTTGAACGAAATCTTCAGACATTGCTGGTCTATATCTCTCCCATAATAATCTGACATTTGTTGGTTGACAATAAACTAGAATAGTTGCAAATAATCTTCTTAATGCGTATGGCATCTTGAAATTTACTGCTTCATCCAAGGATTCGACTATACTATCGTCGGATTCTAAGAGTCCTCTTTTCTGTGCAGACTCTTTAAAAGTCTTCACAAGTAATCCATCAACAGTGAGTAGGTCATCCTAAGAAGTAGGACCTTTAACATGATTCAATAAAAGCCTTAAATAATATCTCTCCCCCTCTATAGGATTTGCTGAATTTATTCGTCCAATCACGGCCTTTTTTCCCTCTCATTCCAACATTTCTTTCCTACTACCCACACATAATGTTCAGGAAATTCTTTGTACAGCAACATCCTTGCTTTTTGATCTGAAGCACATTTTCTAAAGAATTCTGTAAGCATTGTCTTAGCTGTGTGCTCCCACGTCATAATATTTTGAAGATCTTCATTATTCCAATAATAAAAATTTTGCTTATTTGGAAGATGTAATTGGAGGTTAATAACAGGGGGTTGTATATCATTCATCTTAAATTCAAAAATCCACTAAATTGCTTCTTGTGTTGATACCCATCTCGCATCTTGGTATTGTTTGATCTCATCTACTGGATGTGTTGCCTCATTTGATGCAATGCACACAGCTGCTTTGTCATGCCCTTTGTATATATATTTATAAAGATATTCTACAGCCTTAAGTCCAGAGCATACTTTAACATTGATATGACAATTATACCTACTTAATAGGTAAGGATTGTATAGAACAATCCATTGATTGTCTAAAATTGTGTTACGTACAAAAATTTTCTTTCCATCATTCCTTCGCATATATATTGGATAGCCATCACCACCTAAACTTGTCTTTGAACAAAAAGGACGTGGGTAGTGATATTTACATTTTCCGTCAACCATGCATGGACTTGTTTTCGTCAATGATCCACAAGGGCCATGAACCATATGTTTTACCACCTTCGCATGCAACATTGGAAATAGTGATTGATCTGATAATTCTACCGATATAAATTTATCAAAATGATCTGGGCTCATTAGCTTATATTCATGTTTCAAAATTAATAATATATGAGCATGTGGAAGTCTCCTTTTCTGAAATTTAATGACATAGACACGTGCAGCTACTTTACTAAATACTTCTTTCTTAAATAGCTGGTATTTAAGATCATCTATTTTCCCTCTAAAAACTCTAGAAGAAAGATCTGGTCTATCCTGTGCTGTTTGTCCATTTAGAAGCTCATTCCTTATTTCATCCCAATCTGGATTACATGTTATTATAATGAAGAGATCCGGTTTACCGTATCTTTGAACAAGAGCCATAGCGTCCATATAATGACGCCTCATATCTCTTGGTCCTCCAATGAAAGATGGTGGTAAAACTACTCTATGTCCAACTTGATCTCCACGTGTTTCCCCAGTAGTAACACTATCAACAATTCCTTGATGTAATTCTGCTCTTATATTCGATTGTTGTTTTCTAAAGAAATCAAGTCGCGTTGTCTCTAACTTCACATACATGTCCATAGCAAACTGTTGAAATAGTCATCCAGCAAGTAGCAGAATTGATTTTATTGGATACCGAATTTGAAGCTTGTAGCAATAATACTCCCTACAAGAAACATATTGCCCTCCTTATCTTTCGATATCTGTTATAAGCTTAAAAATTTTTAGAAATTGATAAGATATGATATATTTTACTTATGAGATTAAAATTTGGCGTTGGTTTTACCTTGTGATTCCTCCTCATTAAGCTGTCTAGCTAAATCCAATGTTTTTACCTTGTGATTCCTCCTCATTAAGCTGTCTAGCTAAATCCAATGTCTGACTTTCTTCAGTCATATTCTTTCGTTCCGACCCTTGTAGATAAACTGTTGCCACCCACTCTCACCATTTGGAAATAAAATCGGATATTGTTGAGGATCATAACAACTATAATAATGTTTGACTTGATGCCTTTGTCTAGAGTGCTCTTGTATTATAATCTCTCTATTTAACGGTTCATTTGGATTGTATCCTTCTATCCAAATTGCTGCCACTTTCTTTGCTGTTGGAGAGTTATAAATCCTTTGGTCAAGATTGGTGTTCTTAGATATACAGATTTGTAATTCTCTCAACGTTGGTACATCTTTAAGCCTTCATAGAATTTTCGCTTAAGGATTGTCTTCTAGGATTTTCATTATAGTCTTTATTATATTTTCTGATAATTTTTCTTCTTGTAAAACATTCATCCTATTTTGCAATTCATTATCCATGTCATAAAAATATAACTGGAAGAAGTGAGGTCTATCATTTTGTGGTATCAATCCAGGCAAACTATGGTAAATCTGACCTTGCGCTCTAAAAGTGTATATTACATCCCTTGACGATGCCAAGTTTTTATCAATTGCTACCCCAAATGAGGTGAATGAGAAAACACTATTGTATGCTCTAATGTTTCTCCTAAACTCAACACCCTCATTACAATCCGATGATAGCAAGTTATATAATTCATCTGGGATACAAGGTTCCACAAGTACCGTTTCTTCATTATTACAGCAAAAAGATGGGCTGTCATATTCAAATTTCATTGCTCCACAATGAATGCAACTTGCTATCTTTCCAAGCTTGTATAGTTCTGAACAAGACAGCCTTGATATATTTGTTCCTATACGATTGTAATATGTTATTAGTTAATTTTGTATACTGTAGAAACTTAAATTATTATATTTATAAACTTATCAAAGCTCACCATTGCATTCAACTTGGTAATTGGATGCTCGTTCTAGCCAACGTGCACTTCTTTTCATTGATTGATCTTCTGCATTTGGACTACTATCCATAGTCCTCTTTATTCTCTTATTTCGACACATCCTTCTAATATAAGCTTCTCTTTCCTTAGTAGTTAACGCATTGATAAATTTTAAATCATTGAAATAAAATAAAATTTTGATTTACCTTGATTGATAGCTTTCTACTCCTCTAATCAATCTCGGTCACCTAACATCAACAATCAAATAAAGATAATCCATCAAAAATCAAAAAATCAAACTGGAAATTACAAGTTACAAGAATTACAAAAAGGTAATAAGAATAACCAATTCATATCCATACTTACAATTGGAAGAAAAACCCTTTGTTGTTCCATCAAAATTGCAGCGGAAGGTATTTATAGAATCACCAAATGGAAGGGGAGAGCAGGTGAGAGGTAGAGGGAAACCGACGGAAGTCTGAACGTCGAAATAATTTAGAGACGGGGAGAGGGAGAGGGGCAGGGGAAAGCAAGGATAACAGAGGTAATAAAGGGATTTGGGCGTTTTCAAAGAGAGAGGGAGAGGAGAAGGGGAGAGGTCGTGTCGGTGTTGAGAAATGGCAGAAGAAGAGAGATGAAGAGGCGGTTGCGAAGGGGATAAGAAGGGGAAAGTGTATATTTTAGATTATTATAAATTATAATAGTTATATTGGATTGGATAAAATTAGAATTACAAAATTTGAATGGGGTAATTTGGGTATACAAAAGTTTTGACAATGGTTTTCTCTTTTATAAGTAGTATAGATTTACAATTCCCTAGTTTACTCTTGGGCAAATTAGCAGCACATGAGATATGTAGTGTAGGCCAACACTTACAAGCTTGTAGAGATAAATCTAATGCATAGAAGATGTGGAAAAAGAAAACGTCGGCGACAAAAGTGCGAAGGAAAATTTCGTGAAACCAAAAATAGCAGAAAGAATAAAGTTGTAAAAAAAAAGTGACGAATTAATAAAATAATAGAAAAATCAGGATAATTAAAACAGCATGTTCTTTTTGTCATAAAAGTCGTAAAAACTCGGGAAAAGTTTGTTTTCAAAACAAAGGGTATTGAAAGTTCAAGTCTTAGAATCCTCAAGGGTACATAAGTGCTGCCGAAAACTAGTAAGAACAATATTAGTGCACATGGGGAGAAAAGGTGTTTTAAGTGTTTTTCTTAGTCTTTATTGAAACACTTCTTTGCCGGAATGTGTTATGAAACCCTCCATATTATAGACCTAATCTCTAGCTGATTAGAAAGCAACGATGGTTAATTTAGAATTATTAATCATCAATTTTAAAATTCTTCAGGGTTTAGAGTACTTATCTTGTGAGAACTTTTCTTATAACATCTCTCATCCACCCACAACTAAGGTATGAACAATCAACTCTCAACTAAAACCAACCAATATACTTCTTCTAAGTTTCAATCAAGCTATAAAACCCTACTATGATCCTATTCATACATCATAGCGATCCCAAATTCAGTATTTCATTTCATAACTTGAATCAAAATTATGGGACAACTTTGCACACGCTTCCCATCCAATTTCCTACTAGTCTCATCAATCATCCTCCTATTGTCAACACAAGTTTGTTTGCAGGCCAAAGCCCAGGCCCTTTGCCTTTCTCAATTTGCCCTCGCCAACGAGGCCTGCAGCTTTCTCCGGCCTGGTGGCCCTAGAGAAGTCGGGCGCAAACATGAAGCTCAATTGATTCCTCAGAGCAGCAGCAACCACCACGGTCACCACCACGACAGCCATGATCAACGGAGAGACCCGGAGGACTCCGCC